TTGGCTATCTGGTCACTTTTTCTGGAATAACAACCAATTCGGTAGAAAATGGGGACCAACGTCCATGTTTGGGTGATTATTGTAACAAGAGCTTCGAGTTTAGCATACTTGGTGCGAATCTACGCTGCACAAAGAAAAGCCAACACTCCGCACTCTGGGACTGAAAACAAGCGCAGGGTGGACTGGAGAATATATTTTCCGTCAGGTCACAGCGAATGGATAGAGAGAGAAGTGTCTTTCAGCAGCTTATAAAACACGAGCTTTACATTTTGCACATGTTTGTCTAGCCTGGCGAAAGTAAGCAGGACAAAGTCCAAGGCAAGTCAGGGTGATAGAAAACGCAGGCCTCAGAGTTTCCAGTTTCCAGTCTCCCTGTGAGTTTGTCATGTCTTAGAATTTGCAGGCGGGTAACAATGTGTTAACATGTGGGCCCCTCAGATTTTCTTAGGCAGTCATGACAACATAAAAAAGGAGATTATTTTTAACTGACTGGTTTAATGTTTTCCTTTTAAAGTATCCAGTTCTTTTCAGTTCTCTCAATATAGTAGCCTTCATTTCTCCTAACCTTAAAATGAGAAGGAGTCACTCTTTTTTCTCTCAACGTCCTCCCATCTACAATACTTGGCAAACTTGCCTCATTTCCATTCTATGCTTATATCTTGTTAGGCCTTACAGCACTAGCAGTGTGGCTGAAGATAAAGGTGGACTTTTTGCAAAAATTTGCTCTTTGGAAACCACCAAAGGTTTCCAAAGGAAAGGTTTCTCTTCTTTCTTTATTGTTAAATAGGGACCCGAGTAGGAACGTGAGTCCCCTAAGGCCACGCACACAGGCCCAGCGCACAGGCGGTGAGAAGAGTGCCTGACCCCAGGGGGAGCAGCAGATGGAGGCCGCGGGCCTCTCCCAGCCAGCGAGGCCGGGAGGGAGGACACGGTGTGGCACCCTGCGGCCCTCCTTCCCTCCTTCCCAAGCACCGTCTCCATTCCCAGGGCTGGGGGTGGGACAAGAGTGTGCAGAGAGGTGGAAGGCACACAGTACCCAAGGGAGAGTGCCGCAGACACCGACAGCAGGCTGTACGACAGACTGCCATAGCGAAAAAGGCCCTAATGGCACATCTGATTCCAGCCCGTAATTTTATTGGTAAATAAAGGAGCCCAGGAAAGTTAAGTGATGGGTCTAAAGATACACAGCGGATGGCCAGAACCAGACCCAGGTCACCAGCCCACTCCTTTGATGCTCCAACTCACGACAGAACTGAGTATAGGAAAAAGCAAAATGTAAAGTACATGGACTACACACCCCTCTTCACCCCCACCAAATAAATGGACCTCTTTTAAAATAATCCACGTCTCAATCTCCCATTTCTTTTCAGCCCCATTAGCTTACTCAGCTCAAATTTCTGATTCTTATCTGAGACTCAGTAGAGACCCTGGTGGCCTGTGTAGCCGGAACTCCACCTGTGCCCCACTGTGGAGCAGCTGGAGAAGGGAGATCTTTGGGAAGCAGGACTAGGCCCTGGCTGGTGTGGCTCCGTGGACTGAGTGCCGGCCTGCAAACCAAAAGGTCGCTGGTTTGTTTACCAGTCAGGGCACAAGCCTGGGTTGTGGGCCACATTCCCATTAGGGGGCACATGAGAAGCAACCAAACATTGATGTTTTTCTCCCTCTCTTTTTCCTTTCCTTCGCCTCTCTCTAAAACAACAAATAAACAAAATCTAAAATAAAAAAAGAGAAGAGAAGCAGGAGTAGGATACAAGTAGCTTCTTCAACTCAGGAATATTCTGGACCACATATCATGCTTATAATAATGCTGACTCTGAACTTAACAGCTTTTGAAGTTTATGCTGGCAGAAAGGCAACAGGTTGCCCATTTAGCAAGAGAGAAAAATTTAAGAATTAATAACAAATAAGAAAGCTGAAAGGACGGAAATGCTTTGAGTTCAGTCTGCAAGGTACAAGATTAACCACCTCTACTCACTCTGAGCAGAGAAGGACCTTCTAAGGCAGTGTGCACCACGCTAGACAAGGGCACAAGCCAGGATGTTTGAACCAGGTCCTTTGACATTCCATACTCCTGTGCATCCTGTGCAGATGAAGTCAGTTCTTGATTATCCCCCAGGGATACCCACCACCCACAGTGCCTACGGACCTCTAACCAGAGCTGTCAACAGACAGAGCTAATTAGAAGGAAGCAATGGTCCAACGTACTCCTACCTTCCCAAATAACATGTTGACATTTAAGCAAGGGCCTTGGGGTCTCACGCAAAGAGAGCGACTGGCGCATCTCCTAGGAGCCTGGCGGGACAGGTAGTTTTGAACAAGTGGACTCTTGGCACGTCAGCCCTGCTCCAGGACTGGGGATGGGCAGAAGCATGAGGAGGCAGCTTGGTGAGTACCTGAAAATTACAGCTGAATTCCAAAATAAAAATACTTGGGGTATTACACATTAGCTTTATGTTATTTAGAGCAAGAGTTAGTCATTACAAGAATCATTCTTATACCCTATTTCAGCTTATCTCATCCAAGAGAAACTGGTTCTCATTGTTTTCCTGAGGGATCAGGTACTCTGAAAATGACCATCTACACAACAGAAAAGACAAAAGATCGGGAAAAGGAATCCTTTTAAAACATACACTAATTAGTAAATGAACAAACTGAAAAACTATCTCTTTTAAAAATAAAAACTGAGGCCGCTCACGATGATGACACATAATGAAGGAAGAAAAGATAGATGAAAGGATAAAAAACTCAGAGAGGAAAAGTAAGCTAAGAATTTAAATTTTAGGCAAATGTTAGGGTCCCAAACTAACAGGTAGAATAGGAAGCTGAACAAAAGCTCTTTCTGCCTGCTGTGTTCCTAAGAGTCTAAAATGAGGGATTAAAATGGCTTTATTTCAAAAGAACACATTTTGTCATCTGATCTCTATCCGTGACATGGATAAGAGTAAGTAACTTATGGCTGCACTCTTAAGAGACAACAAATCCCTGAATATAGTGCTTTGTTCACTTTAGGATAGCAAATCACTAATTGCTTGTCAAGTAGGGGAAAAAAGTCTGTCTATAACTTTCATTTTAAAATACAGTTTTTTAAAAAGATTTTATTTATTTATCTTTAGAGAGAAGGGAAGGGAGGGAGAAAGAAAGGGAGGAAAACATCAATGTGTGAGAGAAACATCGATCGTTGGCCTCTCTCATGACCCCAACTGGGGACCCGGTCTACAACCCAGGCATGTGCCCTGACAGGGAATCGAACCGGCAACCTTTCGGTTCGCAGGACACTGCTCAATCCACTGAGCCACACCGGCCTGGGCTATTGTAAATAAATTTTAAAATTATTTTGATGTTTTTATTTTAAAATAAGCAGTTTTCAAAAACAAAACAAAACACTGACTGCAAGGGGAAGATGAGGCGATAAAGGGTGGGACACAGAGGGAAACGGCGAAGAGACTCTAAGCCTGCAGACGTAATGTTCAGGCACAACGCGAGAGGCCCTTGCTAGGACGCTGTCCTCTCCCCGCTACGCACAGGCAAGCCCAGCAAAGGCACTGGGACTCGAGCTATAGGCTCAAGGAGAAGCATTCCCTTGATACATACACCCTGAGGGTGATAGCAACGTATACTCACACCGGCACTGTGAGCCCCTCCTCACACACAATTTCTAGGGTGATTCCCTAGGGAAATTATTAAAGAAATAGTCAAAGATTGATACACAAAAAAGCTCACCACAGTGTCATTGATATTCATGAACAATGAACCAGAAACAGCCCAAATTTTCAAGTGTGGGAATAGATAACAACTAAAGTGAGGCAGAACCACTAGAAATCTACTTCAAATATTTGAAGACATAGGAAATTCATTACCTGTGATACCATGTTAAGTGAGGGAAAAAAAATAGGATACCAAGTGGATCTATATATGACTCTCGACTTTGTTTAAGTATATGTATTACATGCATTTTTAAATGCATAATAAACATACCAGCCAACATTAGCTCTGTTCTAGATGGAGGTAAGATGGATGATTTTTCTTCTTGTTTAGACTCCTCTATAATAAGCATACATTACTTTCATATCAGAAAAAAACAGTAAATATTTATTTTACAGTATGCCTACTCTAAAAGACCTCATTTGAAATAATAATTGTCAATCTTAGGGAAAGGCTAATAAAGTCCAAGGCTGACTCAGAGAACCAAAGATCCATGTCTACACCACAACCCTTCTGAAAATGATGAGAAACCTCGTGCGCCACAGTCGAGCTTCCGCCCCTATCGAGGCTGCTGTAAGCTCTATGGGAGAACCCACTCCTTCTTCTCACAGCAGCCATTGCACCTTCAACGACCTGCCCACGTTTCTTATGGCTGAGCAGGAGGATCACAGGGAAAGAGGACGCAAGAGCCCTACTCCCTGTCTCAAAGGAAGAAGTTTTTCTTATGAAACTATTAAAATGACCCCAAATAAGCTACACAAGTTTTGAAATATAAGTCATGAGTTGTGTTCAGGAACCACATATAAAAGCCTCTCATCTCTCAAGAATAAATATAAAACAAAATCTGTGAGTGCCACCTTGTGGCAAGTCTGACTACTACATGACCACCTAGCCGCTCCATGGCTGACCACTGGGCTCCGTGCAGTATGGCCTCGGAGATACAGGTTCCATCATAGCCTACCACTCTGAGCCCAGGTTCCCCACAGCACCCGGTACTATTCATTTTCCAGGATTTCTAGTTTAGATCTCAGGGATGTCTTTTTGAGGACAAGCGGGAATGCAGGGGCAGGGGAACAAAATGTAGGATGTGCTCATGCGTTTGTGCACTACAGCGGACGGTCCGAAGCCGCCCTTTGTGTGTGCGCGTGCGTGCGTGTGTGCATCTGTGCACGCATGCCATGGTACAGCCACATGGCAGAAATATGTAGGGTAACTGTTTCCTCCCCCAAGAGTATTTACCAATTTTATAAAGCTAAGAAGAAAAAAGCTTTACAGTTACGGGCAATGAGTTTTGTGCTAGAAGTTTTATTTATCAATGTTAGAACAACCATCACCAACTTGGGCACAATTTCAAAACAGAGCTCTCGTTGGATTCTGGCCACAAAATTATTTTAAGATTATTACAATCTCATAAAGTAAGAAAGTTTTCCTAATATTTTAGAAAAAATACTAATCACTAACCAAGTTAATTTCATGCTTAAAGTGTTGGCCTCACATTTTGAAAGATAAAAACACCACTGTTTTGAATATCTAAACACATTAATTAATCTCAGTGTTCCAGGTATGAGAGGAGATGTGGAAATCCTCACATTGCAACCTAACCAAATGACTCCAAGAAAGAATTCAATGCTCGAAAGAGGTCAGTGTTGCAAATCTGATGGAACACAGAACACTGAAGAGGCCTGATATTGCTTCTGAGAAAAGATAATCGTCCTCTGCAAAAGGGATTAAGCTGAAAAACCTTGCAGTTATGGGCAGGAGGATTGCAACAAGCAGACAATGAACAGCATGAAAGAGAAAGCTAAGCAAATTATCAAAGGTCGCTTGGGAGATGGTGCTTAGACTTCTCTCTGCCCCACCCAGGTTGACGGCCTATTTCCAGAAAAGGATTCCCTCCAGTCTTAGGGTGGAAGCGCAGGGCAGGAAGCTGCTGTTTTGGTCCTGGACATGTCAAGGGGCGCATTCTCAAGGGTGTGAAATAAACTGAAGTGATTCAGATGGGATGGATCGCAAACACGTGTGCTGTGGGACAGCATTAAGCCAAAGAATTTATAATTATGAGGTTGAGCTGGGAAAATCAATCTGAACTTTTGTTTATATCTCCAAACCCCTGGAAGAACTTTTTCTCCCCTTCTGACCTGACGGGGTTGAAATACTGGACACCCTGTTGGAGAGAAATCAACACAGAGCAGGAAACAGGCGTATCAGAAACCTGAGAGTCCTGACATGTCACTTCAGGGAGAATCCTTCACTTACCATCTGCACAGGGAAAAGCAGAAGAGAAAGAGTAAAATAAATTCAAGGCCTTCCCTGTCCATACAAATAAAATAAAGAGAGGAAAAAATAATTTTCATTCTGTCCAACTAAAAATCAAAACCATAAACCCCCCCCTTAAAATAGTAGCCATGCTCCACCAGAAGCATCCAGGGATCAGTATGGGTTAGTATTCTGAGCTGCATCACAGGCTTTGACAATTAACAACGTATTCAAACAGGAAGAGGTGACTTTTCCACCTTGGCTCCAGCTTCCCAGCTGTCCTAACCTGGGTGGAGAGCAGCTCTCACGACAGCTTGATGGGAAGGTCTTCCCCGTATTTCCGGAGCAGCTTCTGATGGTTGTGGTCCACAGACCACTGCTGCGGCAGGTGCTTGGGCTGCATGGAGTCCAGGAAGTGCTGGCGCCAGCGGCTCTCCAGCTGCATGAGTGAGCGCAGCCCGCCCTGGCTGTGGCACTGCACCACCTTCAGCCCGTGAGGAATGTACTTTTCATTAAAAATCCTGCCAAGACACAAAAGTACAGAGGGTCTGAGGGAAACGGGCACAAGACGGTCTCACAGATGGCGCCAAACACTGTGAGCCAAGGGGCTTCCACAAGGGCATGTATAAGGCAGGTTGCTAGACTCCTAAGGGGCTGGCTACTTTCAAGTTTTTGAAGCATCCTCTTTCCCACATATGCCTTTAGAAAAAATAGTCCGGGCATGTTGCGCACAATCCAACTGAAGCATTTGGGGATTCTGAGCTATACGTGTGGGGAAACCACTGCCTGATGCTTAGCCCCTTTTAGACGGGCCCTGCCGTCCGGCGGATGGTGAGTGAGGAATGCTGGACCTGTGTTTACTCCAGGGTCCTCAGTTACCAGCTCATGCTTCCTTTATTCATACTGAACTGTACCCAGTATTTATAGGAGGTTGTTAAATCAGGCCATATGTTTGTTTTTTATGACAGTTTAATACCTGAATGTAAAATGCAAGGTGGGCCATTTCTTTAGTACCTTCCTTCTCACCAAAGAACGCCAAATCACATTCCTGAGAAATGCTGCAGCGTTCGCTCCCTGTGCAGCTGCTGCTGCGTGACAGGAAAATGAATGCCTGCCTCCTTCCCAGCTATGCTGAAGGGCCTTAGCCGCTGCTCGGACCCCATGTGAACAGTGCTTTCGCCCCCTCTGAGTAAAGATTACCTTTCCTGCCGACTAAAGGTTATCTGCCCCGCAGATTCAGCGCCTCTCCCTGCATCCACACCCCACTCTCATCCTCCCTCCCAAGACTCCATGAGTTGAGCGGTGTTGGTGGCCTCTGGGTATTTCCAGACATTTTATTACTTAGCTCCCAAGCACCCCACTAACTAGTCTATGTTTCCCTAAACAGCTGTTCTTCCCAGTCCTAGATATCCAAGCTCATAGCCCTTCTATCCAAGTCAGTAAGATAAATTCATTAGAAAGGTCTGCGGCTGGAAGAAGTCTGGCTGTTTAGAAAATACATTTGAGAACTGGATAAAGGAGCCAGTGTCATGAATTTCTAATATGACCTTGACAAGTTAGTAACCTCAGGATATCTACTATAAAACTTGGAAAACAACATCTATTCTATAATGCCAGTAAGTGTCAAATTCAATAATAAACTTTCTTAAATTCTGAAAGATTTTTTTAAAATGTAAGATATACTGTTAGCAGTTACCAGTAAGAAACCTAAATGCCACCTCACTGGGTTTGTTAGAAGAAATAATCGAGACAAGTTATGTAAAGTTTATTAGCTTGGTTAAATAGATTAGTATATCTATAAATATTTGTTCAATAAGTATTTGTTGGTACAGTTAAGGTATTTTGGTTTTTTGATAACAAAAATACTATGAGCAACCAGCATCACTATCAGGGTTTTGTGAACTTGTCAGTTCAATTATTTCGCCCCCGGGACTGCTGAAAAGAGAGAGAGTTGGGAAGCAAAACCATAGCAAGTGGCCTAGAGTCTTAATCATCTGTGCCATGGACCCATTCATTTCTCAGGACCACAGACTTCTCATTTAGGAACACTGAATGAAGCCATATGAACCCCACTATGTACTCAGGGAGAAGGTCTGAGGAAGCAAGGAAGGAAGGAAAAAGGAGAAAAGTAATTTAAATAGTAACAGTAATTCTGGCCAACATTCCATTCAGTGCGTCCGTACTCTGGAGTGCAGGTAGGAGAGGAAACATGAGTCCACTGGTCGCAGTTGCCACAGACCTGGAGAGGTGAAACGCAAAACCACATATACTGTATTTCTTGGGCAACCTGAGTGATTTGAGGGTATTTTTTGACTATTACTTTCATTTTATGTGCAGACTTGAGGATATACTTTTGCATTACATATATAAAGCACAACTCTATGGCATTTGAACTCTCCTGCTAATAATGAAAATGGACCTAAGTCCATTGACCTTAATGGGTCAAGGATAGAAGGAAAGGCTCCTGTGGAAAGGAAATTCTCAAACAGATTGTTCTAGCCCATCCCCCATGGTATTTTAAGTCATTCAGTACTTACTGGGATGATCGTGAGGTTTTGCCCTGCACCTAAACAACTGAACCCCCTCCCTGGCAAGTGTTCCCACTAAGTAGTCAGGGTTAAGGTCACTGGATTACGCCTCACTCCCCTCTCTGATAAGAACTGTCAATGGTACCTGGTCTCCAGGCAGGCAGCCTCTTGAAGCATCTCGTTCGTGACTGTGTCTGTGTTATAAAACTCTCTGAGCGCTCGCAGCAGCTCCTCCTTCCGATGGGCAGGCAGGCTCTCGGCGTTGAGCAGGGCCCTGGCCCCGGAACGCATCTGCCGGCGCTCCGGGTCCTCCAGCAGGCGCAAGCCCTCCTCAGAGCCAATGGGGGCCTGGAACTCCTTGGCCAGCTGCTGCTTCAAATGGTTGTCATAGTAGTTAGAGATGGCATGGCAGGAGGTGCAGAGCAGCAGCACATCGTGGGAGTTGTGGTCCTTCATCTCAATGGGGAAGTGCTTCCGGTACTCGTGTGGAATCACGTTCTTCCTGAGCAAGCCCACCCGGAAGGCAGTGCTCATTAGCATATGGCACAGAACATACCTGTAGCTAGCAGAGGGGCTCCTGGCATTCTGATCTGGACCTAAACATGCCTGTGAAGCCTTGGGCGCCACAACCCAACAGAGATGACATAAAGGCAATACTACTTATTCTACTCTCAGCCCGCCCACCTACCTGTGCCTTAAGGTCCTCTCTTCTTGAAGTGGGGATAGACTACCTGCTATTAGGTTTCAGTGCTTCCAGAAGGAAAAGTATCAGAGAAATGAAAAGAAATTCTAATGGCCTTTAATATCTGGAAGACACATCTCTCAAACAATGTAGCAGGTAACCTCTACTCCTGAACTTCCGGAAACCTGGTGACATGAAAAAGCCAACTTCCTTCACTGGAAGCATGCCTTACTCTAAGATTATTTCCCTGGTTCATCAAAGTCCATCATTATTTTCTAAGGAGAACTAGGCTCTCAAGAAAAATTCTTGCCCTCACCAGCATGGCTCAGTTAGGTTGGGTGTTGTATTGCAAAGCAAAAGGTTGTCATTTCAATTCCTGGTCAGGGCACATGCCGGGGTTGTGAAGTTGGTCCCTGGTTGAGGCACATGTGAGAGGCAACAAACTGATGTTTCTCTCACATGTTGATGCCTTCCTCCCTCTCTCCCTCCTTCCTTACCCCTCTCTCTAAAAATAAATATATAAAATCTTAAAAAAAAAAAAAGAAGAAGAAAAACCTCTTGGCAGCAACAACTACTTGTTTCACTTTGCAAGGGGAGAAAGGAAGAGAGTGAGTTACCCCACAGGAGCCAGGGAGAAAGCTAAGTGTCTGGGCACTCAGGCTCAACCAGCAGCTTCACCTTCATCGTGAGGGAGCCTGGCACAGACTAGTCTTCCCAGACTTTTCCAGCGTGTGCCTTTGGGTCGTCTGGATACTTCCTGAGCAGTACCAAAGATGAGACGGCTTGTAAGCCCCTCAAGGAAGGATTATAATGATGCAGCAAGAAAGGCAGCCTGTAAAGGAACTAGTCTCCGTTCCTTCGTGAGCAAAAGGGAACTACTCTCTTATGACAAACTGTTACGGAGAAGACTACTGCACTCCAGAAACTAAGAACTGGGCTCAGGAAGGGTAGAGGCTACGAGAGCAAGGCCAGGCCCAGTGTTAAAACTCTCCAGGAAACCGGGATGTGCCCTAAGGACAAGTCTCTCGGCCAAAGTGGGCGGACTCCAGCAGGCCCCCGAGGGCTCTGCATGTGGCTGCAGAGGCAGTTTCCCTCGGAGGCAGACAATCAGGGTAGGCAGCCCACACTCACCGAATGTAGGAGTCTTTCTTGCCACACACTACACACAGGTTCTCTTTAACCATCAGGTAGTAGTCTCCCGGGGATTCAGGTCTTCCTGCAGGTTCAAACTGCAGCTTGACCACAAAAGGCTCTTCGCTCACCAGCTCTTAGAGAAAAGAAGCTTTGGTTAGTGTCTGGCTGCCCATCCTTCCCCCAGAGAAGAAAAATAACCTTAATTATTCTCATCTGTGGCCTGGCAGACATCACTATTTGGCAGTCTTGAATAGCCCCATCTCGCATGACTCAAGGGCTCCCTGCTTTACATCACTCCCCACCTTGGCCAGAGCCCGCATGAACCTAATCTGTAGATAAAATATGACAGGTAAATCTCAAACCTCCAATGCCTTTGTCCAGGTACCACTGAGCTTTTCTTCGATCACAAGTGCAGAGGGGCTGTCCATCAGGGGCGTGGAGGAAGCAGTTATCATAGAGCGGTGACTTTCTGCAGGGAAGGGAGAGAGAAATCTAAAACTGCGAGCGAACTGTTGGTGAAGGCACCAGTCACCTTCCCACGTTCTCTTCCGAGTGACCCAAGCTACTCTCAACACTGGGGACAAACATTACATTTATGGGAAACAACAAAACAAAACAAAACCCAAACAGGGAAAGAAACCATGTTAATTCCTCCATCTGCATTGGGCTAGGAAACAGAATTTAAAGTGAATAGTTTATACTTCCAGTTTTTATATGTATGGACTGGGACATTAGGGAGTGGGTTCTGTTATGAAAACAAACAGGAACAGAGCACCAAGAATACTGCCCTAGAGAGTAATCAATCTTTGGATTAAACAAAGTAAATTAAAATTAAAGAACATCAGGCTAAAATAATAGAGGCCACGTAGGTTTATTTCTGGCTCAAAGGTAACACTTATTTCAATTTGACCATCCCATTCCTAAAGGCACTTTGCTATAGGGACCAAACTTCCACTCCAAAGTCCTTATTAGTCATCTTTCTGCAACAGATGCGTAAGTTACAGAAACGTTCTCCTTGGCTAGAGAGTAACACTGACTTAGAGCTGGATGCCATTCTAAATGGTCCAAGACAAAATGAACAAGAAATCAAATGATGCATTTCTCCTGAAAAGTATGAGGCACTTCATGTTATTCATTGTCACAGCTATTCTGAAGCAAGCAGGAATAATAATTATACCCTCATGGAGAAAGTACAGGTTTAAGGTCAAATCGGGGCCAATGATAAAGCTATGTTAAGCTCTCCTTATTTCTACTCCAACTGCCCAACAACTAAGAAGTAAAAGGGGAAAGGGGAAAAAAATACACAAATAAATCAAAGGAGAGCTCCAAATGTCCTTGAAGGAAAGGAAGAATAGTATTAACCCCTGGAGAACCTTTGCTTTCTTACCCATAAGCCTTCCCCCAGATCCAAGATGAGACATCACACACCCTTTCCTGGAAGCTAGGCCTCTGACCCTTTATTAGACATGGAACAAGTCAGTTACCTGGCAGAATAGCCCACTCCCAGGGGCTTTCTTTTATGTTTTCTGGGGTCTCTCCCTTGGTGGTTGCCTGGCACCATTACGTCGATCTTAGACTTCTTATTTCTTGGCTTCTGCTGAGATTCTGTTGCCTCCCCATTAACCTCTTCTCCCAATCTGCTAATTCCTTTGCTTCGGAATGGGATGTCTACCACATCCTGGCATTTCTCCAAGACCTTTCTCCAGCCAGTGAGGTCATCACTGTCTTCTACAGTTGGATTCCTAGAGAAAGGGTATCCAAGAAGATGGAGAAAGAGAGCCACTGAAATCTGGGCATCCCTGGCAGCATAAATTACCTGAAGAGAAAAGTCAGAGATCAGTGGAATCTGGAAGGCAAACCAGAGAGAGCAACTTTAAAGTCATCACAGAGATATAAGCAGCTTTTAGGTCTAATTCAAGATGTATAATTACCTAGGCACAGTGTACTTCCTAAAAACCTTTTATTATGAAAACTTTCAAACTATACAAAAGCAAATTGAATAGTGCAATGAATCCTCACCCTATGTTTTAACTAAAGTGGTTAAAATAAAGACTGACTTTTTCCTCACCTGAGGACATTTTTTTCATTGCTTTTAGAAGGACAGGAAGGGAAAGAAAGAGGCACCGATGCAAGAGAGAAGCATCAACTGGATGCCTCCCATACACACCCAGACCGGGGATGGAGCCTGCAACCTAGGTATGTGCCCTGACCGGGGATCAAACCCACAGCCTTTGGACTATGGAATGACACTCCTAACCAACCGGCCAGAGAAATAGTGACTTACTTTAGGTGCTCAAACATCCTAATCTATAAAAATCAGTGAAGTTTCTATCTATCTGCTACCAAACCTGCTAGACAGATATTGTCCAAGCCTGGGATAGGGTAGTTACTACAGGTCTGACAACTAGCACATGAACTTCACTTTGGGGATGATCATCATCTAGAATAGCTGAGACCAACATTCATTAAGAGGTCTGTATGACTATAGTGAAGTTCATTGCCATACTGATTAATAAGATGTTGAAAACAAGGAACACAAAAGGTTTCAAAGATGGGCTTCAAATCCGAAGTCACAAGGCCCATTTCTGGAATTTATTAGGTAGTGATAAGTCATTCTCCCAAGGAGCAGGTCACAGGCAAGCTGGTCATAAATAAAAGTAGTCAAAGCTATAATTAACAGCTTTTCTTAACAAAGGCTATAAAGACTTTTAAGATTTTTTTAAAAGATTTTATTTATTTTTAGAGAGAGAGGAAGGGAGGGAGAACGAGAGGGAGCGAAACATCAATGTGTAAGAGACATATCAATCAGTTGTCTCTCACACCCCCTCACCTGGGGACCTGGTCCAAATCCCAGGCATGTGACCTGACTGGGAATCAAACCGGCGACCTTTCAGTTTGCAGGTCGGCACTCAGTCCACCGAGCCACGCCAACCAGGCCTAAGATTCCTTAAATTACTTTAATAACCAAGCATGGCAAACAATACTATTAGTAAGGATTTTTTTTTAATGCTTCTAGAATAAAACAAGTTTGGATAAAATTTTCCACCTAGACCCAACAACAATCTACATATCTATCAGCAAGTTGTCTCCTACAGGAAAGAGTGTGCTTGAATACAAAAAGTTCAGAGTGCTTTTTAACAAATTATTTTAAAATGGAAAAAAACAAAACAAAACAGGAATTTGCAACAAATGGTACCAGAACTACTAGATAGCCACATGCAAAAGAATGAAGTTGGACCCCTACTTCACATCACACACAAAAATTAACTCAAAATGGATCTTAAGCCTAAGTATAGGAGCTACAGTATAAGATTCTTAGAAGAAAACATAAGAGTAAATATTCATGACCTTGGGTTAGGCAGTGACTTCTTAGATATGATACCAAAAGCATGAATGACTTAATAAATAACTGGATATCATCAAAATTAAAAACTTAATGTGTTTTAAAAGACTCCGCCCAACCTAGGTGTTGGGGGTGGATGGGACATGACTGTTAATGGGTATGGTGTTTCTTTTTGGGGTGATGAGAATGCTCTAAAGTTAAATTTTGGTGATGGTTACACAACTCGGTAAATATACTAAGATCTGTTGACTTGTACACCTTAAATGGGTGAATTTGATTGTGTATCAATTATGTTTCAGTAAAACTATTAAGAAGAAGGAAGTAAAGAAGGAATGAATGAACAAACCAAGGCACGAAGAGGTAACTTAGGGTCACAGCAATCAGACATGGCTGTAGAAAACAAATTTACATAATTTGATTTTCAGAACTCCTTCTCCTTCCCAGGATAATATTAACCTTAAGACACTAACTGCTGAGTCTTCCCATTAACAATAATGGAAAGAATAAACAAGTGGTGACTGACTTGGCAACGCGGAGAAGGCTGAAACCTAAACCTGTAATAGGAGGTAGTAAGCCAAAAATTAAAAACCAAATGAATGCGAGCCACAAAGAATGGCAAACGCATAAGGAATAGGAGGTGGCACATATCCGTGAAAGCAAGGATGTAAGTAGGGGGAAAACAGGCGGATAAGGTGAAAGCCTCCATAAAGAACACAAACACCAGACCTCTTTATACCACAGGGCCAATTACCCCTTCGCTAACCTAAAAGAACAAAAAGTTTGTAGAACCAAAACTAAAATGGAGTCACTTGTATCAGGAACAAAATGGAGCTGGCCAAAGCAGGCACATTAAAGAAAACGAAACTTCACCCAACATAAATTGCAGGAATTTATAGCTCTCCACAGAAATCAGCGGAGGATGCCAGCCAATCCCTCAAACACCAAGTCTGTTCACACCATCCTCGGAGTTCCTCGTTCCTCTCTTAGCTACCCTGATCCAAATAAGGAACAAGACCACTGGGCAACCAATCAGCTGAAAAAGCCGAATAACTTCCACATTTACCGATAAAAACCCGTGAGCAACTCGGAGCTCATTGCTCCCATAGTCTTGAATTTCCCAGCTTGCAGGTTGAAATCCTTATAATAAACTCATCTTTCTTCTTTGTTTTAATCAGTGTGCAGAATCCGGTTTGACCAGTTTAAGTCATATAATAGCTAAATCACAGAGGATCTGACCTAGTAATATGAGGCACGGCGGAGGCTGGAGGCACAGTGTCACCTGGAAAAGAGGGGACTGCGCGAACGCCTACATTTTGAAGGGTGAGGCTAACAGCACCCCTTCCCCACTCAGCTCCCAGAACGTAGGCTGTGCGCTTACCCACAGGGCAGAAACTAGAAGACTCACCTCTAGAAAAACTGAGGAGGCTGTGAGAAAAGACTTCTAGTTATATTTGACTGCAATCTCTAGTTACTGATAATAAAACCCACTAGTCCGAAAGCCCTGGCCATATATGCTGTGTTCTAAATTAATTTTTTTAATGTCAAATTTAAATATTACTGGGTTGGTCAAAAAGTTCATTTTTTTTTTCTGTAAGATGGCTCTAGTAGTGCTTAGTTGTTTTTAACTTCATTTGAAACAATTTTGTTAGATTTTATCGTGACAGCTGTCATATCAGCGTGCATTTTAAAAAAACATCAAAATTGGTGAATTTTTGTGTAGCCATTTTAATACTGAAGATAGAAGAAAATACACAACATTTTCAGCATATTATGCTTTATTATTTCAAGAAAGGTAAAAAGGCAACTGAAGTGCAAGAAGAGATTTGTACAGTGTACAGGGAAGGTGCTGTGACTAATCAAATGTGTCAAAAGTGGTTTGCAAAGTTTCATGCTGGAGATTTCTTGCCGGATGATGCTCCACGGTTGGGTAGGCCAGTTGAAGTTGATAGTGATCAAATCAAGACATTAACTAAAAACAATCAACGTTCTACCATGTGGGAGGTAGCCGACATACTCAAAATACCCGAATCAATAGTTAATGGTGAAAATGAAAAATGTGTCTCTGATTTTACGGGGAAAAAACCATACATGCTTTTTGGCCAACCCAATATTTTCTGCATTTTCTGAAATTTCATTAAGCATTATTATCTTGGGTATCCTCAGACAAGGCATCTATTTTAAGGCATTTCTGCCCAATACTTGTAAATTATTTGAGGATTAGAATTTTAAAAACAATTATAGTTCACAGGCGATGACTTCCCTTCTTCAGCCACTCTGACAAGAAGTACCTGGTCCTCCGTGAGATCCTCGGCATCCCAGTTGCTGCAGCGAAGTACAAGGGACTTGTCAAGGGGGAAGTTCAACACAGTCTCAGCAAGTGATTTCAGGCTAAGTCCATTACAGAGCAAATTGTTTCTACAAAAAATAAATAAAATCATGTATTGAAAAAAGGCAAATGGCAAGAACAGGCAATAAAAAAATACAAATAAATGGCCAATAAACAGATAACAGATACTTAATCTCACTAAACCTCAAATAAGATAAAACAATATACAATTTTTAAAATGTATTAGATTGCAAAGATTTATTTAGAGTTAACTATATTTAGTATTGGTGGAGCATGAAGAATCAGACAGTCTAACCAGAATTTGTGAATTTTACATTTTTACAACTTTTATGAAAAACAGTTTAACAATAAATAGCAGTCAAAATATTGAACATGAAATTTCAGATTCCTGGCCAGGTGGCTTAGCTGGTTCGAGTGTCATCCCAATAGCCTAGATTGTGGGTTCCATCGCCAGTCAGGACACATACAAAAAGCAACCAATGAATGAACAAAGAAGTGGAAAAACTAATCAATGTCTGTCTGTCTCTCTCTCTTGCTTCCTTTCTCTCTCTCTAAAATCAATCAATGAAAGAAAGAGAGAGAGGTAGGGAGGGAGGAAGGAAGGAAGAGCGAGCCAGCCCTGGCCAGTGTGGCTCAGTTGGTTGGGGCATCAGCCCATAGACTGAAAGGTTGCAGGTTCAATTCCTGGTCCAGGCACATGCCTAGGTTGTGGGTTTGGTCCCTAGTCAGGGTACGTATGAGAGGAAACTGATTGATGTTTCTCTTCCTTCCTTTCCATCTCTCCAATATCACTAAGCATGTCCTTGGGTGAGGATAAAAAAGAAAGAAAGAAAATTCTGATTCAGCAATTCAACTTTTAGAAATTCAGTCTAAGGACAAATGTACATAAAATAGTGTTCGTTATAGCACTATTTAAAGTAGCAAAGAATTAAGATCAACCTAAATATCCATCAATAGAAGACTGGTTAAATATCCATGCAATTAAATTCCATACAGCTATTAAAAATAAGGATGTGGATCGCCCTGGCTGGTGTGGCTCAATGGACTGAGTGCCAGCCTGCGAACCAAAGGGTCACTGATTCGATTCCCAGTCAGGGCACATGCCTGGGTTGTAAGCCAGGTCCCTAGTAGAGGGTGCGCGAGAGGCAACCACACATTGATGTTCTTCTCCCTCTCTTTCTCTCTCCCTTCTCCTCTCTCTAAAAATAAATAAATAAAATCTTTTAAAAAAAAAAGATGTGTCTCTCTCTATATGGATGTTAAAAGATGTCCATGAATATTAGTTAAATAAAAAGAGAATGTGAAGCAAAACATTGTTATGGCCCCTTTACGTTTATCTATACTACATAATAAATGTTTGTATGTGATTTTAGGTCTGTGATCACAGAGAGAGAAAAAACAAAGAGATAACTAGAAAGAAATCAATCAAATGTTAGTGATATTATCTCTGGTTATGAGATTTGGGATGATTATATATCCTCTTTATGTTTTTTCTGTTTGCGTTGACTACTATTTGTGTATTACTTTTCAAATTTGAAAAAATGATTAGGCTATTTTCATTGAGGGGGTGAAAATACAATCAAAATGAGAAACCTTTCTGCTCTTCAAACACTGTCTAACATAGCTGCAGGGTGGTAAAAAGAAAAAAAATTTGTCCCAGGATTGGAGATTCCAAACACGAGGTAACTGTGAAATTAAGCACATGTCTGTCTACAAAAGTGGAGCTTGATTTCTGGTTACCAAGTGTGAGACTATAAGTTTTGAGCAGGAAGCTTGGAAGTGGAGGTTCACATTAGTGTTATAACATGCAGGATTCCCTCAGGTACTGTAGGAAATGAAATCATTAAAATGATGAAGAAAAGGAAGTTCTGCCTTCCAAAAACAAGTAATAAATTGATGGATTTCATCACCCCGAAAGAAGTACTGACTAAAAAATTTTTAGAAAGTTCCAGACACACGTAAAATACATAAGGTCTTGGTTCGATTAATAGAACTTAAGAATTTGGGAGAAACATAAAACTTTTGTTTATTAGAAGTAATAAACTTTGTAACTTTTTGTTTATAAAAGTTATGCTTACTATTAAAAATTCAGCCAACAGAGCTGTATAATGGGGGAAGGGTAAAAGCCCTCCACCCCGCACTTCCACTCCTCAGGAACATGACTTTTAACAGGGTGTTGTGGCTCCTGCCAGACTTTCTCTATGCACAACAAATGAAGAGATAATTAGGTAGAGGGGTAGTTGTAGTTTTGTGGTATTTGTTTTGTCTCTTTTTCTGCAACTTGCTCTATCACTCAATGTATCAGAGACTTCCTTCTGTGACAGCAAGTGCAAATGTAATCATTACCCTCATTGAAGGACAGTACTTAATTTTTAGATATTTAAATATATTTAGGTCATTAGTCTTTTTTCAAATGTCATATTTGGGCCCTGGCTGGTGTGGCTCAGTGGTTGAGCATTGTCTCGCAGAGTGAAAGGTCACCAAGTTTGATCCCTGGTTGGGGCACAGGCCTGGGTTGTAGGCGTGGTCCCCGGTTGGGGTGCATGTGAGAGGCCATCGATTGATGTTTCTCCCCCTCTTGTCCCCTCTCTTCCCCTCTTTCTAAAAATAAATAAATAAAGTGTCATATTTGGGAAGGTTTCACATTTCTTGGTGACGAATGAAAAACAAAATGCTGCCTTTGCCACTTCAGAGTTTCACTAGGAAAGACTCCAAAATCACATACTATAGTCTATAATAAATCATCTTCGGTTAACATACAATACAAATGTAAGGAGTATGAAGAAAAGAATTTAGATTCACAGGCTGGTGCTCAATCCACTGAGCAACACCAGCCAGGGCGAGGATGTCACGTTTTTTTTATACTATAGTATCAGCATTTTAATTTTTTTTTACTGTGAAAGTGCTCAATAATACAATAATTTTTAAATTGTAATGAAATTTCATTAACACTGAAAGGTCTGATAAATGCTTCATTTTTATTTCTAGAAAAGTTTATGGTAATAAACTTATCACCATGGTCATATTCTTCTTCTGACACTTAGCCATTCTGCATATAGCCAAACAGAATTCAGAGAGAGAGAAGGAGAATTCAGAGCACCACTAATTTCTACATGTTCATAGAGAGGATTGTAATTGCATAGAAAGAGACCTTGCCCTCACTATTGTGGCTCAATGGATTGATCACTGTCCTATGAACCAAAGGGTCGCCTGTCTGATTCCCAGTCAGGCCACATGCCTGGGTTGCAGGCCGGGTCCCTGGTAGGGAGCGCGTGAGAGGCAACCACACATTGATGTTTCTCTCCCTCTCTTTCTCCCCCTGTCCCCTCAGTCTAAAAAGTATATAAATAAAATCTTAAAAAAAAAAGAAAAAGAAAAAGAAAGAGACCTGGAAAAACAAAGAATTCATATAATGATTTTACAAAAATTGTGGGCGATGGTGATGGTAATAGTTAAAATTTACCCAGAACTCTCTGTATTTCAAACACTATTTTTAAGTTCTCTATAGTTTATCTCTCTTAATCCTCACATCAGTCCTCTGAGGTATGAACATTATTACCCCTTCCTCACAGATGAGGGAACAAAGGGATGGTGAGGTTCGGTAACTTGCAAAGGTTGCACAGCTGGCAAGTGGCAGCGCTGGGACTCCGACCCACACACTCCAGGTCAATTCTTAGCCACTGTACACATGGCCTCTAGCAGCAGAGGAACACTGGGGACCCCCAGGGAGGCAATGCCAAAGTGGGGAGGGCCCCATGAAAGGCAGCTTCTGCAGTACCATTCCAAATATTTTCACAGAGCTCAAATTTTTTTACAGCAAATATTTTAATGTACTCCTTGAAAAAACTGATACTTACTTAGAAGCATTTTATTTATATATGCAAAACTACAAAGCTAAAATAAAATTTCATTGTATATTAAAAAGTTATGATCAGCATAGATTTTAATCAGGCCTTCTTTTAGTTTATCAAATCCTCCAAACTTTTTTTTTTAATCCTCACCTGAGGATATGCTTTTAAAGAGAGAGGAAGGATGGGGGAGGGAGAGAGAGAATGAGAGAGAGACATTCGTGTGAGAGAGAAACACCAATTGGTTACCACCTGTACACACCCCACCCGACCAGGGACCAAACCCACAACCTAGGTATGCGCCCTGACCAGGAATTAAACCCACAACCTTTTGGTGTATGGGATGATGCTCCAACCAACTGAGCCATCCAGCCAGGGCCAAACTTTTTTTTTTTTTAATTGATTTGAGAGAGAGAAGGAGACATCGATTTGTTGTACCACTTATTTATGCAATCACTGTTTGAGTCTTGTATGTGCCCTGACCAAGGGTCAAATCAGCAACTTTGGTGTATCGGGATGATGCTCTAACCAACTGGGCCACCCAGCCAGGGCCACAGATCTTCCAAACTTTTAATGCCAGTGTCCTCTAAGGCAGGGAGTGTGCCTGTTTCAGTCCACATTATTAAAATGCGGACCTGTATATATACAAGAAAAGGTAAAACTCCCTAAAAAAATTTAGAATATAATTTCCATAGAAATAATAGGGAAAGAAAAATTCCTCTTCCTCCCAGTAAAGGATTAAAGCTACCATCATTTTGTCCTAAAGCAGGGTTTCAAATTCAAATGCTTCAGGATGAGTCTTCGTTACAATGGGAGAGGTGGGGACTTGGGCAAGCTGCACAGAGCATGCTCTTCTAAAGAGGACAGGACTACCCCGTCAGCTGTTGCCATCTAGAACTGTCAACCTAGTACAGTCAAATCATCAACTTTTTCAAGAGAAGCCATAAATACCGATGTTTACATTAAATCTTCTGCATTTAAACTAAAATTTCCAAAAATATCATATGTAGAAAACAAAAGCAAAAATAATCTGTGGCCCTCATTTAGCCAGTAGGGCTATTAGCTTATACCCTGTAGCTTTAGGGGACAGCATATTAAATGCTTCATTTACAAAGACCAATTCTGGCCAGGTGGCTCAGTTAGCTGGAGCATCATCCCGTACGCCAAAAGGCTGTGGGTTTGATCCCAGGGCACATACCTAGGTTGTGAGTTCAATACCTGGTTGGGGTGTGTATGGGAGGCAACTGATCGACGTTTCTCTCTAATGTCAATGTTTCTCTCTCTCCTTCCTTCTCTCTCTAAAATCAATAAACACATCTTCAGGTGAGGATTTAAAAAAAAGAATATTTTTTAAAAATACAAATAAAAATAAGAAGACCATTTCTAGTTAACTAAAGTTTTCTCAGAAGTTGGAATATTTCCTCACAAATTAAATATCCAATCAGAAGCCTCTAGGCTTGTAGAGAATTTTAGATGCTTCATTATTGAGTTTCATTAATCTACAAATCTTGCTAAAGTACCTGTGCCACAGCTATAGGAATCCCAGAGCATTCGTACAAACCATACCTCTGCATCATGGCTAGGTAGCGGAGGTCCAGGCACCCCTTAACCACAAGGCCGTAATCCTGCAGAAGCTTGCTGGCATCTTCTGAACATCCTACTCCAACCTTTAAAATAGAGCCATCTGCCAAAATGTTCAATAATGTTTTTGGTAGTGTTTTTCCTCCACAGATCAGCTTGGGCAAGCGAACCAAGACACAGAAGCCACTTGGTGAGGCCATTTGAAGCAATGACAGAGGACTGGGTTTGCCTTCCAAGTTCACCTGCAACAGAGGGAAAAATAGGGTCACAGTTCACACCCTAGCACAATACCAAGTACAACATGACATTGTGGCAAAAAAAAGTCTTAAGAGGTACATCCTTAACTGCCCAAAGCTGACCGGATTTTGGTTCTAATCTAAGGATCACTATATACTAATAAATGCAATACACTCTGTGAAGCAGCAACTTAAGCAAAGGTTCCTGAGGGCTCAAACGCCAGAGCCTGAAATATGAGCAGTCCACAAATAGTGACCAGCTGACACAGAGGAGCACTAGGACACACATTGGCAAAGTCTTGTGAAATATGCTGGTTTTGGCCCTGGCCTGGTGACTCAGTTGTTGCTCTCTCTTTCTCACTTCTTCTCTTAAAAAAAAAAAAAAAAAAAAAAAAAATCAATGAGCATATCCTCTGGTGAGGATTTTAAAAAAAGAAGAAACATACTGGTTTTAAAAGGCTAACAACAGCAAAAAAAATCAGTGGAGCACATTGCCAAACAATGAACATGTTCTTTTCATTATCCAGACTCTCTAACATACATGTTAGTGACCTGGCTCATTTACCTTGTCATCTCTGCCTCAAGGTCTTATTTTTATTTTTCATTTTTTTAAAGATTGTATTTATTTATTTTACTTTATGTTAGAGAGGAGGGAAGGGAGGGAGAAAGAGAAGAAGGGAAACATCTATGTGCAAGAGATACATTGATCGGTTGCCTCTCACATGCCCCCAGTTGGGGACCTGGCCCACACCCCAGGCATGTGCCCTGACCAGGAATTGAACGAATGATCTCTCAGTTTGCAGGCCAGCACTCGGTCCACTGAGCCACACCAGCCAGGGCACAAGATCTTATTTTTAACAAGGGGTAGGATATGCAATACTAGTATAAATAGGTGGTACCTGTAATTATAATAAATCCTGGTAGTACAAAATGCTTTCTCAGCATTTTATGTCACAAATGTTGGCCATAAAAGAAAATATATGTATACTGAGCATAAGCTATGATCTTTATACCTTGAGATGAAAATAACTTTATATAGTATCTAGTCTAGTTTTAATCTTTTTTTTTATCCTCACCCGAGGATATATTTATTGATTTTAGAAAGAAAGGGAGGGAGACATCAATGTGAGAGAGAAACATGGATCAGTTGCCTCCCCTACCTGCCCCAACCAGGGATCAAATCCACAACCTAGGTATGTGCCCTGACCAGAAATCAAACTCACATCCTTTGGTGTATGGGACAATACTCTAACCAATTGAGCCACTGGCCAGGGCTAATTTTACTTTTCAATTACAGTTTACAGACAATATTATCCTGTATTAGTTTCAGAAGTATAGTTTGAATCTTTTTTTAGGTAATAGATAAGTTGGAGAAAATGCTAAAAGCTAAGGAAGTGATTCCCAGAAATACTTACATACAAAATTGACACTAATTAAAGGTTCCCTATAAAGTACCCAATAAATTCCAATCCTCATTTGCTGAAAGAGGAACTTTAAGGCCTACAGGTGAAGCAGTTCACTTAAACATGGAGAGAGAATGGCAAAGTCAGGACTAGAACATAGACTTCCCAATCTCTAGTACAGTATTTCTCCACTAAGATACATTTTGCACATACGCACACATACACCCAGGACGTTTGGTAATGTCTGGAGTAACTGTTGTTTGTCACAACTTGGGGGACAGGGCACTGGTATCTAGAGGCCAGAATGCTGATCGACATCATACAAGGTACAGGATAGCCTCTCACAACAAAGAATCACCTGCCCAAAAGTGGAGAGCCCTGCTCCTGGCAATGTGTTCTCTCACTACCATAGTATCAGCCTGCTAGGCATTGCACTGAGCACCACTGTGGATATAAAGTTATATAAGAGATGGAACCTACCTTACGGATGCAACCTTTTAGATGGAGTACAATACACACAAGCTTACACCCTTAGAAAGTGCATGGTAAGTACCAAGGGAGCGGTTCAAACAAAGTGTTCCAAGTAATCAAGGGAGGGATATTTTATTGTTGAGGTGAACAATATCACAGAGAAGAAACAATCAGGATCTCAAAGAATCCTTAAAAACAAAATTCGGGAAGGCCTTTGTCCTCAACTTCAACTTCAATGCTAAGTAAAACCATGGTTTAACTCACAAAGCCTTAGGATTTCCCTTCCCAGGCACTGCTTAATCCATGAGGCTATTTCCATATCTGCAAATGAAAGGATGCCAGTTTGATCTTTAATTATGTCCTACTTCTTGGGGCTCAGCCAGGGTCAAAAAGACCGACAAGAAACTGACTAATGGGTCCTGTTCTGTAATAATTCATCTGGATGTGGCCAAATTGCCTTTTTTATTGAGTAACTCTCCCTTTATGCGATACCAGCTTTCTCTAAGAAAAAGCTATAAATCTCCACTTCCAATATTTAGCCTGCTAATTTGATATAATACTCACTGCAAATTCCTAACAGTGAATCTCTGCACATCTTTTCAGTCAGGTTCCATTGTCTAAAATACATTAAGTAAATAGCTAGATAGGTGGACAGATAAGTTGTCTTTATAATATTGTTTCTGGACTGTGCTTAATATCCAATATATTACAATTAAGGTTTTCTCACTAGAAATCCCAATGTTTATGATTTCAATAGGTACCTAATTTATACTAAACATATAACTGAAAGAATAATGCCTCTGGCAGAGCCAATTTGGCTTAATTAACAAGATGTCTAGTCTTTATTTCTCACATATTTAACCCTCTTGCTTTCTAACACCTTTTTGTCTTCACAGGACTTACAACTCATGGAAAACAATGGAATCCTTAATGGAAAGACATATTTTAACTTCATGAGCATTATTTAATTCAGTAGTCTATTTTTTTTATTGGTCAACTCATAAAAAATGTTTGGCACATTAATAACATATATGTATATGTATTTATAAATTATATAAATAATGTAGGAAATATAGCACTATACTAAGACATTACATTGTTATATATACACAAAAGTAAAAATTTTAAATGAATGATGCCATCAACCATTACAGACAAAATTTCTAATATTTTCTCCCATATTTCAGTGATTCACTTAGAGAGCATTGGTTTAGAAAGCCTCTTTCCTGAGGGTCAGTTGATAATCCATTTTAGCTTCAGGATCCTTTTTTCTTTTCTTTCTAATAAAGCCCTGCAGCCCTGCCTGGGTGGCTCAGTTGGTTGGAGTGTAGTCTTCATACCAAAAGTTTGCAGGCTCAATCCCTGGACAGGGCACATACCTGGGGTGCGGGTTCAGGGAGTGTATGGGAGGCAACTGATCCATGTTTCTCTGTTTCTCTCTCACATCAATGTTTCTCTCTCTCTCATCTCTCTAAAATCAATAAACATATCCTCGGGGGCAGATTTAAAATAAATAAAGTACTGTATGATTATTGAAAAAAATACAATTATACAAAAATAAAAAATATGTCCAAACTTCACAACCTAAGAAGTTACAACCACTGTTAACATTCTGATACTATTTTCTTCCAGACTTTTTCTTTGCATATAAAAATATTTTTATTTTTAACATATTTGTGATTATATCCTATGAAGTATTTTAATTTTTATATTTTACTCTATTATGTTTTTATTACGTGAAATATCAAATATGATTTATATGTAACTTATAAAGCATAAGTAATATAATGAACACCTGTGAAATTACTCTAACCTTTCTGCAGAATTCTTTTCTTTTATCCTCGCCCATTTTTTTCATTGCTTTGAGAGAGAGGGAGAGATACATTGATGCCAGAGAGAAGCACTGATTGGTTGCCTTCCCATATGAACGGAGATCGAACCCACAACTGAGGTATGTGCCCTGACTGGGAACTGAACCCACAACTCTTCAGGACAATACTCCAAACAATTGAACTACATGGGTCAGTGCTATGCAGTATTCTTAAAAAAATCGGAGCTGATAAATTTCTGGAAAAGCCAGTGATTTTTTAAATGACCCCATGATGGCAGCAGAGAGTAAAGACTGATCTGGTACCACGTTCTGGACTGGAACATGTTAACTAATGAGCATCCCTAGTCTGTGGCATTTATATATCAGTTAAATTTAGACCAGGACTCTAAGACAAGAATAAGCTTGTCCTGTTCAAGTGACAGAATGAAGGCCCAATGAGGCTGGAAAGTAATGAGAAGGATGGGAAGAGACTAGAAGGAGAAAAATTCAGATGTTGAGAGAGGCCAGAGCATGTAAGTCCCTAAGAACATGCAAATAATTAAGGCATCTTGATTTTATTTGAAGCCATGGAAGGGTTTTAAGCAGAGGACTGACACAATCTGATCCGCATTTTTAAAGGATCACTTTGGTATGGAGAAGGGATTGTAGGGACACAAGAGTCCAAGCAGGGAGGCCAGTCAGGAGGCCACTGCAAAGATCCAGTTGAGAGATCCTTGAGGTTTGCACTAGGGAGGAAGTAGAGGAGATACAGAGTAGATGAATTCAAAATCTGTTTCAGAGATAGCACTGTAATACTTCCTAAATGAGAAGAGAAGCGTTAATAGTGAGGAAAGGAAGCTGACCTCAAGCGAGCCTGAAGCGGGCCTGCAGCAGGGTGCTCCTGGGAAAATGACCTTCACTTCAGTCATTATTTATTGCACCAATTATTTGTACCTGTTAAACAAGGATATCTGTAGCCAGAGAGATACTCCAGAAAAAAAATCAGGCATGAGTCATGGACCAAAAAGATATTTAACATCTCCATCCTCACATCTCCAGGGGGAAGGCAAAATAATAGCTGCTAAAACATGGCAGAATCCCTATTTTGTACAGGTGATTTATCCACAGTCGTACATCACCAAGGGTAACTCAGGGGGATCTGGAAACCCACACCTCTATCTGGCAGCATGCTGTGTTATTTCCAGGTTGCTATAAACATTTCTTTGAATTTCCATATACAGGGTCCGGCAGAAGTTAATGCCTGCTTGAATGTGCTTGGTAGCATAATAATACAGGTGGAATAATTTAAAGTGAAATTTGAA